GGTGCTGTCCTCTGGTGAGGCCAGAGTTCAGAGCAGGCAGAGCTCCACCCTGGGGCTCAAGCCTGCAGGTGGGTCCCATGGTGTCCCCCAGCCAGAGCCCTTTGGAACCCGTGGTCACGCGTGGGCCTCGCCTCTCTGAGATCAAGCCCCTGGCGCCAGCCTGCAGGCTGGAGTGCTGATCTCCAGACCTCCATGATCCCCGGGAGTTCAGCCAGGTGGGCATCCTGACTGCTTTACCCAGCCTAGCCAGCCTCCTGCTCATCTTAGCCCTTCCTAATCAGCAGCATCCCCAGTAGGGCATCACCACCCAGATTGGGCACAGTGCACAGAGGGCTGGGCACGGTCCCAGCTGTGACCCAGAGGAGGGTCCTGCTGTGTGCACAGGAGGGCGAAAACGGGCCAGCCTAGAAGGACCCAGCCCTGGCTGGACTCTGAGGCTGTGGCTGGGCCACAGGCTGGGAGCCACGCTTTTCACAAGCTTACAGATGGTGCTGCAAAGCCAAAGGCAGGAGGTGCGGGACACATCTCGTGAGACTGACCTTCTTGAGGTCTCCATTCTGGGAAACTTCTTAGTTTTACAGGACTCAGGGTCCATGTCTATGGGTGCCCACTGCAACGTGAGCTTAAATCTGCAGTACAGTTTACCAGGAATCATGCAGTGTGTCCCCGCCTGGGCAGAGGAACTGCAGTACAGTCCATACCTAGGAAAAAATAAATCGCAGAGAGCTTGAGGCCACAGGTATAGTATAGAGTAGAAGAGACAGCTGTTGGGAAGAAGGTGTGTGGCGTGGCGTAGGGCTGAGGCTCAGCCTTGCAGCTGGACCTGGGATTCAGGGTAGATTCGACCTGGCAGCACCACCAGGAACAAAGCCAGAGGTGAGGGTGAAAGAGCAGGGGGTGGGCACAGGCCCTGCTGGGACAGAAAGCAGCGAGTCAGCGAACACTCTAGACCAAGGGTGGAGCTAGTGTGTACCCCCTGGTGGGTTGATCTGGGTTTTTGTTTGTTTTGTGTTTTTCTGCAGTACTAGGACTAAAGCCAGGCTGCTCCACTTCTAAGCTATATTCCCAGGCTTTTTTACTTAGTACTTTCTTTTTTTTTGGGGGGGGGGGACACTGACTGCCTGCCCTGGGCTTGCCCCTCCGACCATCCTGTCTCAGCCCCCGGAGCAGCTGAGCTTGTATGCACATATCCACCACGCCTGGCCTTTGCTGGTTCCTGAAGGCTTTCACAGGAGCACAGGCATCTCCTCTCATTCCCAGTCACCTGAGGCTTCTGGAAAGATTATCTGGAAAACTCTGGAACTGTGTTCCTGAGTTTCAGGTTGCAGCCATGCTGAGGAACAGGGTGGACTCTCCAGCCCTCCTGCCCACCCTGCCCAGGGCAGGCACTGTGCCTTTGTCTGACCTCTGCACACAGTGCGTGCCACCCGCACGGTCTCCAGGTTGAGTGCACGGTGCCACGGGCTGGGGTTGGGGAGCCCTTACTTAGCCCTAAAGCACGAGGGTCACAGTGCTGGTTGCTTGGATACGCTGGGAAAGAACGTCCTGTAGGTGGAAAGGTGACAGCTCCTGACCTAACAGGATCGGGTAAGCCCCGGGCTGCAGGGGCTGTTGCTGCCCCGTCCCTGTGCTCAACCCGCAGTCACACTCACTGCGGGCCCTGTGTATTGTGCGCTGTGTGCTCAGTGCTGCCGCTGCTCTGGGAATCCTGTGCTCTGCAGAGAGGCGCCGCCTGCTCTGGCCTGCTTGCTCTGTAATGAAGGAAATGAGAGGCTGGTGTGACTGAGGCCCCCAGCCAGGGCAGAGCCCCCGTGTGCTGGAGTCCAGGCTTGAGCCACAGAGCTGGCGGCTAGAGCCAGGGTCCAGTTGTTTACCTTCCCTGGTCCCTCCTTGTATGAAATGTAAGCCTCTTATCGGCACCTTTTCATCTTAAATAACAGAAATCTATAATACTGAGAATGCCCAAGCCTCAACAATGGTTGCTATTCAGCTCTGAACAGAAAGCAAGCCCGGCCAAGTACAGGAAAGGACCGGGTCTGAAAGCCTTTGAGTTTGCGCTGGGCGCTCAGGTTGTTAGAGACTTCGGTTTCCATTCGTGCCCCGGTTCTCTGTTCTGCATGTGCTATTTATGTGACAAAGACGTTGCAGGCTTTTAAGAAGCTAAGCTCTCCCACCCCAGGCCCCTGCACACGCAACGGGCCTCTGTGCAGTGAAAGCCTTTGGGGGTCTTCCCCCCAACGCCTCCGGCGGATGCCCATGGGCAGGTGCACCAGGAGCGGCTGACGTCCCGCGGAGCATGGGCTCTGTCCTGGCCATGGCTGTTCCTGTCCGGAAGAATGCCGAGTGATGATGACATTTTCTGGTTTTGCTTTTATTGATTAAAATGTGTTATTTCACCACAATGGCCAGCTTCCCCCCAGACTGGCGAGGGAGAGGCATCTACCCACAACCACAGGAAAGAGGCGACTTGGAGGTTGTGGCTGGGCCGACCATAGCAGTTGCTGATAATGAATGATGGTGCCTAAGACTGTTAACAGAAAAACACAGAACACACCGAATCCAGTTGTGCAAAACAGGCAGACAGTGTGGCCAAGCCGTGAGTGCCGAGAGAAGCTCTTGGCGCTATGTAATATAATCGGGGTCACCTGAAGATTCCCGACTTCCAGGGAACGAAGTCTGTGTCTTCCCTCCTGTTGCCGAGCTTGCCGACCTGAGACTCACTTTAGATTTCTCGCTGTGCTTTTAGAGGTGCGCGTGAGTGTGCATGCTTGCCCTTGTCCTGGGGAAGCTCAGTGTGGGAGATTGAGCCGCACAGTGCGCAGGGCCCCGGGTGCCTCTGCCCCTGCAGGTGACACCTGAGATGGCCCAGACCTGCTGTGCCTGCAGTGTGCTGGGAGACGCTCAGGTGTCCATGTGGCTTTTCTGAAAAGAGCAATTTCCAAAGCACAGCAGGACAGAATCTTCCACCAGGCACCGAGGAAAGTGGCCACACATCTGCCTGGGCCGCACAACCTCAGGCTGAGCCGGTGTGGTCATCCCGTGGTTTAGATAACGCAGCCAGCCACAGGACTTCCTATGCTAGAAAACTGCAACAAGAATGAGTATTTGATCTTCTGTAACGGTCATCTTTGGTGAGAACAGCGTGCATCCTCCACTCTACATGCAGCCATTGGAAATTCGCCTTGAATTTCGCTGTTTCACCATACAGGCCATCTCCGTGGGTGCCTGCTCCACACTAGGCAGACCAGAGCGCAGGATGCAGGGGTGGTGGGTAGAGAGGCTCACGCAGGGCCATGCCAGGTGCTGGCAGCCAAGCCTTCAAGCAGGCAGCCTCAGTACCCCAAGGCTGCCCTGCCACGTGCCTGTCGAAGCTCCTCCCTCTCCCAGGGAGGGCCCCATGTGCCATCTGCAGCCTGGATTCCTGGGCCATGCCCACCAGAGCAGAACAGAGGGGTGCTGGCTGAGGGACGGCCAGTCTGGGTGGACCCCTGCCTGCCCCGCTGCACACATTTGCTCAGCCTTCCTGCTCTGTGCCAGGGCTGGAGAGAATGCAAGGACCCATCGCATGTCAAGGCCACAGGGAGGCAGACGGGAGGAGATGTGGCCCCCACCTGGCCCTGGTGCCACCTCTGCACACTCATGAGTGCGCGCGCATGCACACACACACACACACACACACACACACACACGCCTGTATCTCACCGTCCTGTGTGAGCACACCTGAAACCCCAAGCGTGGGACTGACGGGGCTGTCATAGCAGGTGCCAGAGCTGGTGTGGTCCTTCAGAAGCTTCCCGTGGCCCAGCAGGGCATCAGCCAGATGGATCGTTAAGGGATGGGCCAGCATGCTGGCCACGCGGAGTCCCTGTGGTGGGCATTTGGGGCCTCGGCGTCCCTGGGTGCTTCTCGTACTCTGGGTTTGCAGCAAGAGCTGGGACATTTAGGGTCAGAGCAGCAAAGGTCATGACTTTGTCTTTTAGTGCTAGAACATCCTGACACGGGCTCAGCCCTGTGTGCATGGTGCCTGAGGAGCAGCTTCCTGGTGGCATCAGAGGAGCATGCCCACGCTAGAGGAGGCAAGCTCTGTGTGGACACCAGCAGGAGGAGCAGCAGATGAGGGACAGGCCAAACTGTATGGTTGGTGACTCTCGCTGTCTTCAGGGAAAACTAGTTCCCAAACCCTGTCTCGTGCCTGTGTTTCTCCATGGATAGTGCGTGTGCAAGCACGCTTGCATCTCACACGTGGGTGCCTGTTGTGGCACATGCAGCACATGTGTGCCAGCACTGCCCCGGAAGATGACAGCTCCTTGGGAGATGGGTGTGCTGGGAAACCCAGGCAAGTGCCCGCACTGGCTCTCCAGAGTGCAGGAGTGGTGGCTGCCTCATGGCTGTGCCCGGCACAGCACCGCCACCTGCTCTGAGCCGCAAGGGTCCTGCAGACTGAGTGCTCATCCCAGGCTAGACATGACTCCGATGGTGAGGTTGCTGTCCAGCACTGGGCTTCCTGTCTGTCAAGTAGAAAATTTGGCAGGATTCTTACCAGATTCTTACTCATGTCTGTGGGTAGCTCATGGTCAAAAAGGAGAAATCAGATGATGGGCGTGTGATGCCTATCGTGAGCTCGGTTCATCAGCTCTCGTTAGGGGGCTTTGCGCAGTGTTGTAGCCTGTCACAGCAGGGCTCTTCCTCGCTGCAAATGGCGTCACCGTGTCTGCTGTGCTCACCTGGGCAGTCATGTCCTTGGGATGCTTCCAGGCACCAGCACCACCGCCCGTGCAGCCCTGACCCAGAAGCCCCAGCCCTGTGCATTGTCCTCTGTCCCTGTGCAGGGCCCTGGTCTGGCTGTCATCCTGCGCCACTGCGCCTCACCCTCACATGCTTTCCATGCCAGCTATCAATGTGTCAGGGTTCACACTGTGCAGACAGGGCCACAAGACGCAGGAGGCTTGGTGCCCAGGGCTCCGAGGGCCCCGGGCTCCTCTGACTCTGCTCCCTCACAGGCCTACATGGAGGACCACCTGCAGAACAAGAACCGGCTGGAGAAGGAGTGGGAGGCACTATGCGCCTACCAGGCGGAGCCCAGCAGCTCACTGGCTGCCCAGAGGGAGGAGAACCTGGCCAAGAACCGCTGCCCGGCCGTGCTGACCTGTACGTACCTGCAAGTGTCTGTGGGCTGGGGAAGGAGGCAGGGTGGGCCCAGACTCAGGCTACAGAGCCCCGCTGCCCCGTGGCAGACCTCATCCCTGTGGGAGGGCCCTGTTCCCTCTGCCCTGCAGTCACAGCAGGGCCCCGGGAGCTGCAGCAGGTGGCCAGTGCCAGGCTCCGGCTGGTCTCTGTGGCCCAGCCTGCACCCCTGATGTGGGGTGCGTGTGAACAGGTCCAGCGCCCAGCCTTGCACCATCACCCTGGGTACCAGGAGGCGGAGTGGCCGCTGCAGCATACCAGAACCTGATGGCAGTCTCTACAAACACTGAGGACCCACTCTGGCCAGATGTCTGTCTGCACTCAGGGACCCAGGGGATCGGGGTGTGCTGGGTGTTGTCAGGGTGCAGAGCCAGGGCGGGAGGCTGCAAGCATTCTCACCGTGCCTGGAGCCTCCCTCCGCTCTGGCCCCACCTGTCCACCAGGACTTTGATCCACACAAGGAGCCCCCAGATGCTCTGTACAGCTCCATCCACGGTCAGCTGTGGGAGGGACCAGTAGCCACGTGAAAGCACCTGGGACGTGGCGTCAGTGCAACAGGCAGGATGCCCTGTGAGCTGCACAAGTGATGCAAGGGACTTTAGTCACACAGCCACAGCCAACCCACAGCCCCCCACACATCACAGCCACGCTGGAGACTATGGTCACCGAGGCGGAGGGCCTGTCCTGGCCACTGCAGCCATCGGGGCCAGCTGGGCACCACTAGGCCCGGCCTCAAGCCCTGGCAGCTGGCCTGGAACAAGCTCCAGTCACCGCCACCCCCAAACACAAAGGCTGCGCCGCAGGAGCTACAGGCTGCAGAACCTGTCACAGGTGTGAGCCGTGGGCTGGGTCTTCACAGAACAGCACTGACTGGCTGTGGTCGCTCCTGGGGCTTGCACTCTAACCCACTAAGCGAAGCTTATTAAGCCCTAGTGTGTGTCAGTGGCTGCAGATGATGAGCCAAGTAAGGCCACTGCCCCCAGAGAGGGGCTTCTGGCGGGGCACAGACGGCAGAGGGGTGGGGAGGGGAAGCAGGGTTGAGAGGCTTTCGGCACACCTGGAGAAAGGAGGGGGCGGGGCATGACCGCGCACTGTGCTCCCAGCACTCTGGGAGGCTGAGGTGGGAGGCTGCAGGTGCAAATCCAGCCGGGACAACTGCGCCAGACCCAGTCTCGAAATAAGAAAAGGGCTGGGGACCTGACTCGCACAGGCCTAGGGTGCAGGCTCTGAGAGCAGCCGGGCAGCAGCGCTCACATCAGACTGCTGGCGTCCGGTGGGGACTTGGCTCACCAGCTCTTGGTCAGGACTGAGTCCAGCCTGCTTCTAGGGGACACTCCTTCCCGTGCCAGCCAGCCCAGGGCAGGGTCAGACTCCAGTGCGTCCTTGCCGTGTGTCTCTGACCTACACAGCCCTGGAGTTACATTCTCCCTGCTCCCGCAGGGACCCTGGGCCTCTCTCATATCGCTGTCAGCCACGCAGGTGTGGCTGGCCATGGGCCCCACCTGCTTGGGCTGCATGGCACCTGCAGAAGCTGGTGCCAGGAGGACACAGGCTCTGATATGTGCCTTTGACTTGCTCCTGTGACCTGGTCCACTGCACGATATTCTTGGGTTCCCACAGTTTCCTGAGAAGGGAAATCCTCCCTATGCACCCCGGCCTCCTGTTCTGTCTGTGCCGCTGCCTCTCACCAGCCAAGTGCAGCAGAGGCCATCACCTGTCCCCAGGAGCAAAGCCACACCTGTCCCTTCCTTGCCCAGCACAGTGTGGTCTCTGAGCATGTCCTCCCACTCGCCCTGGGCAGCCCCTGCCCACCCTCCCTGCTCCATGCCTTGGCCCATGTGGTCCTGTCTTTGTGCGCCTCCTGGGGCTGAGGCTGCAGGATGCCCACAGCAGGCTTCTGTAGGCTCTGGGTCCCTCCCAGCCCTGTGTCCAGTCCATGGAACAGTCTCAAGAGGAGAAGGCTACTGACACTTGTGAGGTGCTTGGCCAGCGCTGGTAGCTCCTCATTGTGTCATCTCGGAGGTTTGAGGCACTGAACGTGTTCATGCGTGGCCAGTGTCTAACATGGTTAAAGAACAGCTTGTTGTCTGCCTCTCAAATTAAGAACAGGACTCTGATGCTATTTTGGGGTGCTGTTTTAAACAGAAAAAAAACTCTGGTTCTGTATTGGAATAAACAGAGAGCTGCAGACACAAACTGTGATGGGAGTTTTTTGAGAAGGATGGAGCCTGCAGACCAGGGACACGGGCAGACGGAGAGACCCAGAAGGATGGAGCCTGAAGACCAGGGACACGGGCAGATGGGGAGACCCAGAAGGATGGAGCCTGCAGACCAGGGACACGGGCAGATGGGGCCACCCAGAAGGATGGAGCCTGCAGACCAGGGACACGGGCAGACGGGGAGACCCATTCTCATGTCCTGAAGGCATAGTGGCCAGACAGGGCAGAGCCAGCCTAGCTCACAGCCCCCGAGACAGGTCAGCCTCTGCTTCTGGCCCTCGGGGTCCACCCAGAGTGAGGACCAAAGCCCCCAGCATGAGGCCAGTGCTGCATGGTGTCCACAGTCTGTGCTCCTGCAGGAGGGTGGAGTTGGCACTTCCACAGGTGCCCTTAGCCATGGCGGTCCACGTGGGCAGCTGTCCCTGAAACCCGGGTCTTGCCCGAAAGGACTGTTGCTGGGTCAGGACACCCTGACCACCGTGCCCCCTTCCACACTCTGTGGGTATGACAGAGACCTGGACCTCGAGCTGTATTTTGGTGGCGCCCTGTTCAAGACCATGGTGACCTGGGCCCTGAGTGCCAAGCCCCACCCATGCTGCCAGCTCCGGTGTTGAATACTTTCCTCCCGTCTCCACATCACGACAGAACAGAGCCCAGGACAGGTGTGGGCCCCGCCCCAGCCAGCCACACTGACCAGGACCTACAGTCTGGCTTCCTGGGAGTGGAGCCAGGGCCCATGGTCCCCCCAGACCTCCAACTGCCCTCGGATCCCCCAGCCCCAAGCATGTGGACCCAGTGCCAGCACACATCTCCACCATGGCCCCAGTGCCTGCAGCCCTTGGTGCACCTCCCCTGTGTGAGTGAGGGAGCCAGAGCTGGACAGCCAGGGGTGTGCCCACAGCAGAAGTCCCCAGGGGTGCCTGGCCTCCACCTGCACAGGCACACATCAGAGAGGGCGGGTGCATCCCCATTCTGCTCCCCAGAGGCCCGCTTTCTGGGACTCAGTGTTTCCCCGTCCTGGGCTGGACAGCAGATCAGTGGTCACCTGCCACCTGCATGCCGCTACTTCCGCGCCACTACTGCCACGAGTCACCATGCCACATCTGTGTGACATGTGAGGGGTGCTTGGTTTACTCTTGGACATGCCATTTCAAAGTAAATTTCAGGCAGCAGACATCGAAGAACTTTAGCCTACAACCCCTGCAAGTGAGGACCTTCTACACACCTGCAGCCATTGCTGTGACTCGGGAAAGCGACGGCAAGCCACGCGTCGCCTGCTCACACTGTTCCCCAACAGCAGGCAGGTGGCTCCAAAACCACAGGGTCATCCTGGGATCTGGGCTGGTGTCCCAAAGGGGTGGCTGTGCTGGTTTGGCTGTGAGTGCTCTCCTCCGCTGTCCAGACCGGCTGTGCTAAGGACACCACGCAGTGACCCGGTCTCAACAGACAACCTGCGTGGATCCTGCTTCTGGGCGCCCGGGTCCCTCTGGAGGCATTCAGCGCACGTCCGGTGTGGTCTGGGCACAGCCCTGCTCCCTGGCACGCGGCCTCACCTGGGAGTCCTCTCTCCTTGCACACAGAGGCAGGTGGTGAGGCTCACGTGTCCACAGGCAGGCCCTGAATTTGGGTCGCACACGGGTCCTGTTTGGGAGCTGCTTTCTCAGAGACCTGTTGGGGATGCTGGCGATACCTTAGAAACAAGAGCAAGGCTCGAGACCGCCTCCTGCAGGTCAGTCGCCGCGCTGCAGCTCTGCTGGTGAGCTCGGAGAAGGGGAGCCAAACACAGGGTGTCCTCGCTTGGCAGCTCCCCAGCAGGCCCTGGAGGGGAGCAGTCTCATGTCAAGACTGTCGCAGGATGCAAGAGGGCTTTCTGATGTGACACTCCAGCGGTCCCTGTCTGCCCAGATGCGAGGGCACGTCACCGTCCACAGAGCTCCATGGCCTGATTCTGTGCGTGCTGACCTTCGGGGTCTCCTAAGCCTGGTCACAAGCACTGCAGCAGAGAGCAGCATGTGGGGGCCTTCGTCCACAGAGGGTATTCCTTACACGTGGGTCTCAGAGTCACACAGCACTGTCTGCCTGTCTGCAGGTCTACAGAGAGGTTCATGTGCTTAGTATCTCAAAGCTAAATCGACACGGTGTGATGACGTGGCACTTCGCCTCGGCCATGACACACCAGAACAGTCCTTTGGGTGCAGCAGTGAAGAGCCAAGGCCAGTATCTGTGGCCAGGTAAGATGGTGGTGGGTGACCTCAAGGGGAGACCTCACGGAATGTCACACCACCAGTGGATCCATGAAGGTGGAGCGGAGCTACGGCCATGGTGCCATCCCAGGCCACAAGTCCCCCAAGCCGCACAGCCCTGACCTTCCAGAGTAAGCTGCCTCCATCACCAGAAGTGTCCACTTCACCATCAGCCACACCATCGAGGCAAGAACATGGTGCCCACAGCAAAAATGGCTGCATCTAAACCTCAACAGAAAGTGTAGGCCCCATGGCCATCGGTCCTGTGCTGGCGTGGGGAGTGAGAGACACCCAGCAGAGGGGCAGGTCAGCTCCTGGGAGCGAATGCGTGGGCCACGGGTGTGGCCTTGGGTCTGTGCCTGTCTTGCGCCGCCACCGCCTCCACCTCCTCCGCCTCCTCTTCCACCTCCTCCTCCTCCTCCTGAGGTCTGCTCCTCAGCCACCGTGAACTGCCGGGGCTGCTCCCCCACACACTTCCACCATGAGGCTCCAGCCTTGGGGCAGCTACCATGGACCAAACCTCCTGAAACCATAAGCTGTATTTGTGATGTCCTCCTGTGGGCTTTGGGTGCCTGTGTCCGTCCAGGGACAGGAGAGCTGGATGACACAGCCCTTCTGGGTGGGGTGGCCCCGTTTCAAGCACTGTGGAGCCAACGCCTGTGGACCCCCTACTATGGCACTCTGACCGCAGCACGCAGCGAAGCCCCTGGCAGCAGCTGCACACATCAGCTCCCTCGGGTGAGAGGGAGAGCCATCCGGGAGACACCTCCAGAGAGCCACGCTGCAGGGAGACGCTAGTTGCAGCAGCCTCAGGTACCTCCCTCAGGGACACAGTGGGCTCCAGTCCTGCGTCTGCTGAGCCAGGTCACGGAGGGCTCTGTCCACAGCAGACATGGGGCAGTTGCTGCCCCCCGATTGCCTGCAGAGATCATCTTCCATGTGCTGCAGAGACCGTGTGCCCCACGTACGCTGTGCCCCCAGGAAGGCCTGCACTCCTGACGGTGTGTCCCCTGTGATGCCGAGCTTCCTCCTGAGAGGCTCACTGCACTGTGCGACCACTGTCACAGCAGCCTGCGGGCTGAGCCCTGGGAGAAGAATCTGGCTGTAACGCGTGCACCGTCGGCCCCGGCATCGCCTGGAGGGTGTGTGGCAGGGCTGGGACTCAAGACCTGCCAGCCCTCCTGGGCCTTGCTTCCTCCAACTAAATGGGCAGACCGTGTCTCCCTGACCCGTGGCTCTGAGTTCTGGGCTTCAGATGTGGCACACATGCAAACACAGAGCATCAGAGAGGCCTGTGGTGCTGAGATCAGGCGCTGACGCCACGTATTCCAGGCACTCGGGAAGGAGGCCTGCCTTGCCACAGGCTTCTCCCCACCACACTGTGTCTCCCCCAGGAAACTTAGGCCCGGGGTCTGGTTAGGGGAAGAGGGTGGAGCGGGTGGAGCTCCTGTTGTGCCAGCTCTGAAGTCCAGGGTTTCTGAGGAGCCCTCCCAAGATATTCCGTGGCCCCAGTGGAGGGGGCACTAGCTCGGGTGCGGGGGCTCAGAAAGGCAAGTGTTCTGGGAGCAGCCTGCCAGCTTGCTTCTCCGGCTTGCCCCGGGTCCTGGGACAGCACTCAGGTCCCGCCAGGCCACCATCCTCCCAGCGTTCTGACTGTCCTAAGTAAAGTTGCCAACCCTGGCAGTGACGGCACCTGTCCCCAGGAAACTCGGCTTGATGTAGGCATCTCTTAAAAAAAAAAACAAAAAAAAAAAAAACTGCAAAGTAGTCCGGAGATGCGGCCAGCAGTGATGTCTCCACCCGACAAGCTCACTCCCGTATGCGCAGCACCGCCCATCACTCCTTCTCCCTCCAGGTGGCTCAGTGTTTCCAGCAGGGCCTCAAGATGGCCCAGGGCCAAAAGCAAAGTAGCATGATGTTTAATTTTGGGAGAAGCATGTTGACGCAGAGCCACAGATACCTTCCAAGGGAGCAGGGCTCTGAAGCGCTGGTGGCCCTCGTGGCCAGCTGCAACCAGATGTGGCAGCAGCTCTGAGGTGTGGCCGTCACCACCCTGGGGCTCAGCAGACTAGTGCAGATTGTCCCTGCAGTCCACGGTGCAGGTGGGGAGGCCCAGGAGGCCACATCCGTGTCTCACGGAGATTCCCCAGCTTCCAGTGAGAAAATGCAGCTGCTGTGGCACCCGAGTCCGGGAGCTCGGTAGCTCCATCCCTGTGGGCGGCTGGCCTCCCGCCCTGCACGTGGCCTGCACTGTTGCATCCCAGCCCTGGCAGTGGGAGCTGTGCCCTTTCCTTCCCTGCCCCCACGTGCTCCCCACTGCTCCCTGTAAGTTTCCTGGCCGGCTGGGAGCGGACCCCAGCTGCCGTAGCTTGAGTGCCTGGGAACGCCCCGCCCTCAGGCCGGCTGGCGTCTGGCGCGTCTCTCCGGGCTTCAGGGTAGCTGAGACCTGAGGACAGCAGACGCCTCTGCGTGAGGGGGCCTCTTGTTCACACCATCCGAGAAGCACCACCCCAAGAAGCGGAGCCCAGTACGCACAGCACGTTGGCAAGTTAGAGTGACCAGTTTTTCTCCTGAATTTTATCTCAGTTTCCTGCCACTGCCACTCATGCCCTCTTAGGAGTAAGTATGTGTAGGAAGAGGCCATTGAGTCCCTGGGACTGTGGGGCTGTTATTCAGCCCTGACTGAAAGCCATGAGCCGGGGTCAAGCACCCGTCCAGCACACACGAGGCCCAGCGTTCAAGCCTCGGCACCAGGGCAATCAAAACTGCTAGGGTGACTTGGGAGCCCCTCACGCACCTGCAAGATGGCCTCCCCCCCCACACACATGTACATGTGCACACGCGTGCATGCTCTGTACACATATGCACGCACATGCCCAAGAGATCGACTGTGTCTTGTCCCACGTTGTCTCCACGGGAGCGCTCCCAGAAGGACCTCTGGCCTGTCACATCACCACAAAGGAACTGTCCAGATCTCACTGTTACAAGACTCACCAAGCCCCGGAATCTGTTGTCTTAAAGAAAGGCATTCTGCGGCTTGCCCTTCCACACCTGACTGTGCGGCTCCTCAGCTGTGCTGCGTTCATTGCCATGAGAGGGGCGTTCACCTGCAGGTTGGCCAGGGCGGCAAGCAGCTCGGCGCCGGGCATCATGGCGATCCTACTGGCACGTGCAGTGGGGACAGTGACCTGCGACTGGCGTGTATTCACGTGTATTACAACAAGGCCACAGGTGGCAAGTACGTACCCTGCACCGTGCTGGTGGACCTGGAGCCTGGCACCAGGGACCCCGTGTGCTCGGGGCCCTTTGGGCAGATATTTAGACCTGACAACTTTGTTTTCAGTCAGAGTGGCGCTGGGAACAACTGGGCCAAGGGGCACTACACGGGAGGAGCAGAGCTGGGGGACTCGGTGCTGGATGCTGTAAGAGAGGAAGCCAAAAGCTGCGACTGCCCACAGGGTTTCCCATTGACCACTGCCTGGGTTGGGGACTGGGTCTGGGATGGGTACCCTCCTCATCAGCAAGATCCGGGAAGAGTACCCAGATAGGATCATGAACACGTTGAGTGTGGTACCCTCACCGAAAGTGTCGGACACAGTGGTTGAGCCTTACAACGCCACCCTCTCAGTCCACCAGCTTGTAGAAAACACAGATGAAACCTATTGCATTGATAACGAAGCTTTGTATGACATTTGCTTCAGAACCTTAAAGCTCACCACACCCACCTATTGTGACCTGAACCACCTGGTGTCGGCCACCATGAGTGGGGTGACCACCTGCCTGCGCTTCCATGGCCAGCTCAACACTGACCTGGGGAAGCTGGCGGTGAACATGGTGCCCTTCCCGCGCCTGCACTTCTTCATGCCTGGCTTTGCCCCCCTGACCAGCCATGACAGCCAGCAGTACCACGCCCTGACGGTTCCTGAGCTCACCCAGCAGATGTTTGATGCCAAGAACATGATGGCTACCTGTGAGCCCCACCACGGCCACTACCTGACAGTGGCTGCAGTGTTCAGGGGCCGCATGTCCATGAAAGAGGTGGATGAACAGATGCTTAATATCCAAAACAAGAACAGCAGCTGTTTTGTTGAGTGGATCCCCAACAACGTGAAGACGGCTGTGTGTGACATCCCACCCCGTGGCCTGGAAGTGTCTGCCACCTTCACTGGCAGCAGCACAGCCATCCAGGGGCTGTTCAAGCGCATCTCAGAGCAGTTCACGGCCATGTTCCAGTGCAAGGCCTTCCTGCACTGGCACACGACGAGGGCACGGACGAGATGGAGTTCACTGAGGCTGAGAGCAACGTGAACGACCTGGTGTCCGAGGACCAGCAGGACCAGGACGCCACAGCTGAGGAGGAGGGCGAGCTTGAGGAGGAGGCCGAGGAGCAGGAGGAGGTGGCCTAGAGCTGTTAGCGGGTGGAGTGTGGAAGCGGTGTGAACCTGTATTCACCCACAGTCTGCTCTGCTAACGCTGCCTCACAGTGTGCACTGCTGGCTCTGTCTTGACATCACATCCTGTACAGACACACCATTAAAGCATTTTAATAGTGAGGAGAAAAAAAAAAAAAAAAAAACAAGTAGCTCTCGAGGAGACATGCAGGTCCAGGCCGAGGCACAGCCGCCAAGCCTTCACCACCAAGCCCTTCTGGTGACCAGGGCCCTTTCCTTCCCAGGAAGTGGCCAGACGTGGGAACTGGGGGTCAGGTGAGTCAAAGGAGGCTCCACACTGGCCCCCAAAGGCCCCGTGGGGGCGGCAGCATCTCCTGGGGAGAGAAGAGCGGTGGTGGGTCCTGCCCAGCTCTCCGGCCACATCATGCCCTCCCACCCATGCCGCTCCTGCATGGGCCACACTGCTCTTCACAGGCTCCAAGTGCCGGCTCAGGACTGTGCTCCAAATCCTCCTCCCTGTCCCCACTTTTTTGTGTGTGGTACCAGGGATGGAACTCAGGACCTTGCACTTGCCGGGCAAGCACTTATTCCACTGAGCCATCTCCCTGACCCTGCCTGGCCCCTTTCATTCCAGTCTCTGGGTCTTAAATCCCGTGAGCTCAGGGCCGGGACCATTCATCACCTGCACACCCTCGAGTCTCAGTGATGGCCTGCTGGTCACACTTACATCTACACGCTGTGTGTTGACGAGGGTGTCTATGGTGGACACGCAGCAGCAGAGGAAGTAGCCTTGGTGTTGCGGCTACACATGGAGAAACCCCGGGACCCCCAGCTCCAGGCCACACACCCCAGCCCGGGCTGCACCGCTGTGCTGAAGGGAGGGAGACGCCCCCAGGAAGGGATGCGGGGACAGGCTGGTTCTGAGCCTACAGCTGGCACTCCCTCTGGGGCCGCAGTGACCCGCCTTGTGTTGCCCACAGATGACCACTCGCGGATCCTGCTGAAGGCCGAGCACAGCCACGGCAACTCGGACTACATCAACGCCAGCCCAATTGTGAGTACTGCCTGGCCGGCCGGCTCCCCCAGCAGGGTACAGCCGCAGTGTCCAGGCCTCCTGCCCCTGAGGCAGACAGCAGGGCAGAGGACCTGGTACTCCACGCAGACAGAAGGTCCAGGCCTGAATGTCTGCATGGTGAGGAGCCCATGCCCAGAGGATTTTCATGTGGGGTGGTAGCCCTTTCCTGGAGCTCCTTACTTAATCCTGTTGTGTTCCAGGGAGACAAAATCCAGCCCCAAAGCCACCCCTGTGAGTGTTGACAACCTCCCAGCTGCCTCAGAGCTGCAAGGTCTTCTGCTCATCCTCCAACAGTTAGGATCCTTTTAATAAGACACCGGCTAGCGTTTGTCACTGGCTTCAAGGACCACACCTGGGGCGAAGGGGCTGTGCGTCGGGAGACGGAGCGCAGTGGCTTCCCCAGGGCAGACATCCCTGACTTCCAGGGGAAACCTGTGACTGCGGGTACCACCTAAGTGCTCGCCCACCCTGCACTCGGGCAGAGGCAGCTGCAAAGGGGAGCTTAGAGCCGCCAGGGGGTGCAGAGGGGGCAGGTGAGCAGCAGAGGGGCCGGACCAGGGGCGTGCTGGCACTTGCCAGGCAAGCACTTACTCCACTGAGCCATCCCTCTGGCCCCTCCTGGCCCCTTTTATTCCGATCTCTGGATCTTACATCCAGTGACCTCAGGGCTGGAACCGTTCATCACCTACAGGAGCCACTGTGGGGTGGGTCCTTGGCAGGGCCAGGGCCAGGGCCATTCTCCCAGGTGAGCTACAGCAAGAGCCAGCAGGAAAAAGGGGAACTGGGGTGTCCAGAGCCAGGGTCCTGGAGGCCCAGCTGACCACTGGTGAAACCAGGCAGGAGAGCCATAATTCAGTTGAACTGTTTTTTAGGGGAAATTTATTTTTCTGGTTTTGGTGCCAAGGACCAGCTTGCAATCCAAGCATTCTACCGCTGAGCCAAGTCCCTAGCCCCTGAGAGCTGCGACTCAGTGTGGCTTTGTGACCAGCCCTGCAGCGTTTTCCACCCCCCACTGTTCCTCAGACTCAGCCTACAGAGTGTGTCAGGAAGGTCACTGGAATTCCGGCCTGCGGGGTGTGCTGTCCCGGAGCGGTCTGGGTCACAGCCTGCCCACGGGGCCCCTGCCCTCTCGCCTGTGGGTCAGCTGCTACTGACGAGAACAGGACTTTGGATGGCAACTTGCCCTCAACCGCTGATGGCTTCAGCCCAGGCCCAGGGCACGTGCCCTGCGGAGTCTCAGCCCCATGGAGAGCACATGGGCTTCGGAAGCCGAACTCAGGGCCGGGAGCTGGTCCAGGGCACGCGCCTCCACCCGCTGGCTCTGACCTGGACATGAGGATGCTTCCCAGGCCCTGCAGAAGTGGCCACGCATGGTCCACGGCCGGATGTGCTCGCCTGATGCTCATCAGCAGTCCTTCTCCACAAGACCAATTGAGAAAGGTGGCCAGCACCTCAGGCACTGACCCAGCTCATGATTCACAAGTGGGGAATGAGGCCTGTAAGTCCCTGGACTTTCTCTGATGGCAGGTGCCAGTGACAGCCACTCAGCACCATCTGAAAGGGCGGGATTGTACATCGGTAGCAGAGCATATCTCTAGCATAAGCAAAGCCCCAGATTAAACTCCCAGCACCAAAGAAAAAAAGGACAAAGCTGAAGGAAAAGAAAGACTATTTTATTCCTGCAGCCTTCCCCTTTTCCTGGAACATGCCACGTGGCGAGGCCACAGTGAGGAGCAAAGCTGTCACCTTCCAGTCCCAGCACCAGGAGTCTGCGGTGGCTGAGCCCGGCTGACCCAGCATGGTGGGTCCCAGTCTGCGGGCGCTGAGATGTCCCTGCTGCTCGGGTTCCGTGGCACACGTGAGGTGTGGTGGCTGTGCTCTGGGCGCTGCGGGGCGTCAGGATGAATTCCTGCCCAGCATCCTGTGCGGCAGGCCCCTCCCCTGGTGCAAGTCTGCAGGAGAGAGGGGCGGTTTTACAGTGGCTTTTCTGTTTCTCCTTTACCTCATACCACGATGCTCATTTTGGGGGGTCAAGGCTGAGCTGTATGAATGAACTAAAGCCCACAGTTGCCTCTTCCCTCTGAAATCACTGGAGGCTGGGTGATAATGACCTTCCAGCCACCGCAGAGTGGAAAGCTTGCAATTACAGCACCAGTCCCTGGCTGTGCAGAATGAAGCTCTGATAATTATATCTGTCATATTTGTCCTTAGTCCCATTACATTTCAGGGAAGCCACCCCGTAGTAAATAATGTGCAATCTTTGCTTTTGAGCCAGAGGTCATGGAAGCAGATGGGAGTTCTCCTCCTGTACTGCGCGTCTGAGAGAGATACCGCCACCTTCCCTCAGGACTCAGCTGAGTTACTCCCGTGGAGGTTGCTGGGCCAGAGGTTGCTGGGCAGGGGCCGTCACTCACCCCTGGGGCACCAACGGCAAAAGAACAGATGACCAGGCCCAGGCCTGAGGGTCCTAATGGCCCCTGAAAACAAGCTCACTTCCCCCCCTGGACATAGCGATGGCCAGGGACGGCCCTGAGCTAAGCAGGGTCAAGGAGCCCCTTCTGGCAAAGAAGGACAGCCAGGTGGCCTGGGGCTCCTGGCTGGCCCTGCGAGGGTGCCCTTCACGCCGGGAGCTCACAGCTAGGCATCCGCGTGCACAATGGTGGGTCACTCTCAGCACTACGCTTGCGAAATCTCTATTCAACAATAAATACCAAACGACTCCTGGTTGGTGTCTCTCCTGCTGGCTTCCGCAGCCGAGCCCCAGCAGATGCCACTCTTGACATCTGACCTGCTAACCCAGCTCAAGTCTGTTTTGAAGAAATCCCTGGTGGAATTTGCAGGTGTGGAGATGCACGTCCCTCGGGGCACCTCCAGGGGCCGAGAGCCCACCTTGGTCCCCATGAGCCCTGGGCTTTGGGACAAGGTCTGTGGTCTGGGAAGCTAAAAGCTCTTTCTAGAATCATCCATTTGATTTGGAATTTTGGAGAAACTGCTGCTGGGGTTTCTCACACGGGCAGAAGTCGTCACCTCATGTAACAACTGTCACCCCTCAGCTGACAGCAGATCCCAGACCCTGCAATCAAAAGCGACCCTTTCCGAGGCTGGACCACCAAGGGGCAGTGGAGTTAACACAGGCAAATGGCCTGCCTTTTTCTAAAAGGAAAAATCCTTCAAGTAAAAGTATACTGTTGCTTTTCCTCTGACAATCAGTCACTGTGAAGTCACTTGAAATCAGCCACTATCCCGAAGAAGCCCCTGCTAGGGGGCTGGCGCTTAGTAAAGACTGGCTCCTGGCCCTGCCACAGAGGAAGAGGCAGGCTCCGCGCACAGGCCTGCACCCGGGAGCACAGAGGCCAAGGCTTTCACTGCAAGGCACACGTGTGCGGAGACCAGCGCACGTGCACGTGCACACAGCGCAGAGCTGCCAGGCACCTGGAGGCCGCGTCGTCCCACAGCCCTCCGTGACACTGCCGTTTTACAGGCACCAAGGCCCACACACACTGGGACGTGGCCCACCCAGGCAGACGCCTGTGGGTGGGGGTGGAAGGTGGCAGAGGCGGGGCAGATGGAGGGGACCTGAGCGGTGCAGGAAGACAGCAGGGCTGCTCCCCTGGAGACAGCAGTGCTGTGGCCTGGGCCATGTCCCTGCACTGGTCCTGCAGTGACGGCCGACTCCAAGGAGCCCTCTGTCATTTTGGGTCTCCTGCTCCGCCTCACGCAGGACTCCAGCAGGGTGCTGCACCCCATCCCACCCCCACTATCCAGGGATTGGGGCTGCGGCGGGGGGACAGGCGCTGTCAGAGTCCCCTGCCCACTGGCCAATCCCGAGACCTGGCTCCCTTTGCACAGCTCTGGGACACTGAGCTGTGGGGTAGGGTGGGCGGGGGAATGTCTGAATCTCAGCCACTCAGGCTCACGCCAGAAGCTGTCATCTCGCCTTCCGGGAGCTCCACCCCGATCTCACTCTGAGCCACGCATTTCTCTTTTGGAAAGCACCAAACCTGCTGGCATGAGGTTCCGGGAGGGGCAGCACATGCAGACAGAGTGTACCCCTTCTTAGGTGCGTCCACCTACAAGGAGGGCACAGGTCCCCAAAAGAGCTGTCCCCCAGCAAGTGCACGTTCTAAACGAACCCCTTACTTCTGCCAGCCGTTCTTTTGCTGCCCTATTTTAATTCGGGCTTTTGAGGGGAGGAACCGATCACGTGCGCGAAGGTGAATCTCCAAGTGGGCCCCAGTTTTAAGTCACGAACCCCTCAGTCAGGTGCACGAAGCTCTCCAGCTGCCCCTGCTAGCATAAGCTGTGTTGAGCAGGGACAACTCGCCCCTGCGACCATGCCTCTTGGACATGTGCATCATCCTGGGCACTACAGCCTCCACGCTGATGGTGACCGAGTGTTTTAAAGGGACAAGGGATTTTACATGGGGTTAAAACTCCCTCATTTCTCACCACTGAAAAATCTTGAGCCTTGGAGCACCCTGTGTCCCTGTTAGGCTTCTGTCCTCGGCCCTGGACATGGAAGGCGGATGTCTGAGCAGGCACCACCTTCCCAGACAGGTCCTGCAGTCCCCCTGGCCTGGCCACGGGGGCCCCTGCCGGAGCTTCCTGTGACTTTGATGTAGCGAGGGAGAGGCAGGTGCCCTGTCCTCTGCACAGTGACCACTCAGCCTAGGCATGGCCACGCTGCAGTAGCTTCATTCCACTGGCTCTCACGCTCTGTCCTTGTGTTGTTTGTATTTTGTCTCTGTGCCACTAGTCATTGAATAGCCTGTTGTAACTGAGGTCTTCCAGCCTGGAGTCCCTGCTGGAGCCAGCAGGCGCACAGGGCAGCATCCCAGTCCTGGGCTGCGGTGCAGGGCCAGACAGGGTGGCCCTCGAGGCTGCCTGTGACTGTATGAGCCCCCACCCCACGCATGGCCCAGCAGGCCCAGGGAGCTGCCCGGGCCTCTCGGATATGCCAAGCTTGTCCCTGGGCTCCGGGGGCCTGTGCCCTCTGGGGACCTCTTAGAGGATGCCCACTTAAACAGGTGGGCCCAAAGCCTGGGGTACTGGGGACCGCACAGCCCTGAGCCCTGGCCCCCTGCAGTGCTGCTGCATAGCCAGGGCCACCAGCCCACAACACACATGGGGCTCCCGGTGGCCCGGTTTCTGCTCACCGTTAGAACCTCGGAGCGAAGAGCCGCGGAGATGGCTCATTAGAATAAGTGCTCACAGGTCTGAGTTCAATCCCCAGTTCCGCAAAAAA